TAACCCTTGTAGTCATTCACCAGACTGCAGCTCAGCTTGTAATAGTGGTGGCTACTGCAGTGATTTCCAGCTTTCACAAGGATACGTCAGGTGTAAGATATGCATATTTACATTGGTCCAAGCTGGACCAATGTAACTATGCAAGCAAAATCCTTCCTAAATTTCAGCTTTTATTCTGCCTGGTCAAAATTGTTGCGCTGCTCAAAGGGAGATAATAATTTGCAGAGCTGCCAGATCTGTTTTTAATCTTCCCTGTCCCTTGGTAATGCATTCCAGAACTGCAGGTATGCTCTTGGTGCTGCATGCCATCTAACAGTGCTCATACAGCCTTTCTAACATCTGTGGATGTGAAATTCTACCACATTGGCATTTCACAGATAAGTTGGTGAGATGGTAATGTGTTGCTCCCTCATCTTTGAAAGCAGTGCAGTGATGGAGAAGGATCTGCTAAAATAGCTACAGACCCTTTATGTATGAGCATTAGTTTGATCAATTTGGGGGTAGGTCCTGATGACCCTCCGCACCAAAAAATGAAGCATACAAGCACAATACACAGTGGGTAAGGTTCTCTTGCTTAAGGGAGGCTACGGGGTTGGTGTCATTGTTGCACACCGCACCTAGTTTACTTGCTTGGTTTCTGATAGAAGCCATCCAATACTTGACTTGGGCCATGAATGTCAGGCCCGGGGTAACTTCTCTCCCACAAGCTGAATAACTGCAGTACAGCCTGGCAATGCCTGTGCCAATGCTTTGGAATTTTACCCAGTGGGAGGTGTAGGAGTTGTCTTGCCCCTTACTCTTGCCTGTTGCAGTTGAAGGGGTTTTTATTTCCTCTAGTCCCTTCTCACCATGGTTATAATTAGTCATTGGATTCTAAGTCTTACTCCATGGAAGGCATGATTTCCATGCACTGTACTGGCTTTGGTCAAAAAACTTGAAACAGCTGTATATAAGTTGTATACATTTCGCCCATTGCGTCCTTAATGGTAAAGGGGTACTCATCAAACCTTCTTACTATTTAAAGAGGAACTCACCAGGGCTGTCCTTTTTCTCCATTTGTCCTGGCCCTAGAACCACTTACTATCAAAATTCATAACTGTATAGACATAAAGGGGATAAAATGTGGAGCTAGAGAGTGTAAATGTGCTCTTTGCGGATGACATCCTGATGATTGTGTCGCCTATTACTACCCTCCCCAACCTTTATGCCATACTTCCAGCCCTTCTCAATCATTTCAGGTCTTAAAATAAAAAACATCTCAGGCTTTGAATATATCCTTAAAGGAATGTATAACTGAAGCTCTCAAAAAGTCCTATACATTTCATTGGCATTTTGAGACCCTTTCATGTCTAGGCATCAACCTTACAGCTTCCTTGCACACCCTCTATTCCCAGAACTATCCCGCACTATGCAAACATCTCACTACTGATATGGCTAAATGGCAATTCCACTCTCCATTGTGGCTTCGTAGATTACACTCCCTGAAGATGAATATCCTGTGAATTTTATACTTATTTCGCACCCTGCCATGGGGCACTTGTTCGATCAGATTTAATTGCATTTCAAAAGAAGTTATTATTCTTTGTTTGGGGAAACAATAGGTTTAGGTTGAATAAGCATACATTGTTTATTCCAAAACAAAAAGAAGGTTTGGGAAATGAAATTAAAGTTTTGGAAACGTATGGGACCCGTGGATCAAATATTTGACTGGTGATCCTCGGACTATACCCAATTTAAAATTCTTTCTGGAAGGTGAGGTTTGGAACATGGAGTCACTTACCCCCCCCCCCCTTCTCTTTCTTATTTTTTCCCTACTTTCTCTTGGCTCTTTTGCCTTTTATTCTTTTATTTAGTTGTGTTTATGAAAACTTAGGGAGAATACTACTTTTGTATGAAAAATGGTGCGGCCTCCCTCCCATGGAGGAGGCTGTCTGAATTTATGAGTATGAAAGGCTTACCTCAAAACCTAAGAAGTAAACTTATTATTGAATTAAAACATATTATGCATTTATATTACCATATATTGGGCTATGGCCCTCAGACTGTAGGAAGCCTGGAGTATACTAAGATGGGTACAGAGATGCACTCTTGATATGTGCTTGGGGCTATCACAGACAAGGCAGATCATTACAACTGTAAAGTGTAGTAAATTGTATTGGCTTATGCCTCCTGTTTCTTTTTGGTACATTATTCCTTTTTTTTTTTGGTACATTGTGTTTTTTTTTGGTACATTGTTTTATGTATGTACTTTACACAGCGGAGGATCCACAACTATTGTAACAATCCTTGAAGTCACTCTTTTATTATGGACAATATTTTTATAAAAATATTGGAACCTAAACAGCTGTATGTAGTTTGGAGTAAGTGATTGTACAATGTTATATTATATTTACACTAAACACCATCAGTTCTAGTTGTGCCTTTGGCCATTGGGCACATAAAGGAATGGTTTTCACGTCTTTTCCCACTGTCCTAAAATTAGAAAAAACTCTTCTTTTTAGGGACTGCAAGCCAGTCCCTCTGGAATTTCCCCTTGTTATAGGGCTTTTGGAGGAAGGCCTTAGAGGCTGTGGGTGGATCTTAGGAGTGTCTGGCTGCACTCTTGAGGAGTCCTAGCTAATCCCTAACAGATGGCTTGGCAAGGGGCTAGACACCCTTAAAAGTGTTGGAGCCTGCTCCGAGGGAGGAGTGTGGGAGAGGAGTCAGGTAGAAGAGTGAGAGAGGAAGATGGGAGGTTGAGGAAGGAGGCTGCCAGGAGGCCTAGAGGGATGGGGCCAGCCTGCGAGCCTGGAGCTGGAAAGGCAGAAATCTTAAAATACACTGGGCCCCTGAGAGAGGACCACCTGTATGGAAAGTAAGTAGCAGCCCAACTGATGGGCCTAGTAGCAGCGGTGAACCTGCAAGCGGTACAAGAGAGGATCTGAGTGAGTGCACCTGCACCCCCTGGGTGATAGGGGAAGGAACACTCTTGTGGGAAACCATATTAGCCCCCTACTAGTGACTGTTTACCTATTTAAAAAAGGGACAATGAGTCATAAGTGGCCACAAATTACCAGGTATGGGATGGAATTGGTAGTCCAAAGAAAATAAAAATGAGGAAAAGAAAATCAAGATCCTGTGGGGAGAGTGGCTTGAGTTACTTCCAGGCCAGAGATGGCAGTGAACTTGTTGAGAATCTGCAGTAAATTTGGGAGTGGTGATGTGGGGAGAGGTGATAAAAGAACATCACCTGTGAACATGCTTAGCTTGTGATGTCACATCAGTTTGATACCTTTATTGTGGTATCAGATGAGATTTATGGCAGTGTGGGATCTGTTGCTTTGGCACCAACTCTGAGGACACACTGCTATTGTGCTGAAGGTCCCAGCTGTGTTGTGTGTTGAATAGCGAGAGACTGATTGGAAAGATGAATGCATGTGAGCCACACTGGCTGTGTAAAAGGCTCCGAGGCAGTATCACTATCAATACAAAGACCAGCAAGGAGCACTGTCCCCTCTGTGTTGATTCAACATTGCTCTGGGATGGGAAACCAGAAGTGGCAGTTGGAACGAACAGCTGAGGGGCACTGATTTGCAGGTGTGAAAGTGATGACATTTTGCGTTGAAAGCAGAAGTGATGTAACACACTTTTCACTTCCGCCGTGTGATGAGACACCTAGCTAACTGATGAGGAGCCCCAGTTTTGTCATTCTCTATGTCCTGTCAGAGCTTACTGAGCTTCAAAGAGGGCAAATGATCAGAGTCCACGTAGCTGGTGCCTCTGTGAATGAAGTTGCCAATATATTTTCTTTTACCATAGATTTTATTAAGCATGTTGAAAAAAACATACAAACCATGAAAAATCATATGATACAAAGCAACAACAAAAAATAGAGGATAGGGAAACATCATACCAAAACACAGAAATACACATATAAGACCCACACCGAGTCTAGATAACATTGTGCAAGACAGAGTGCCACAAGGCCCACAACCACATTCAGAAATATAAAAGCTACATTCAAAAATAGGCAGCAAACCCCCCACCCAAAAAAAAAAAAAAAAACACAGAGCCTCACCCACTTGAGGCAATATTGTCCCTGGGAGTCATAGATTGGTTAGATAACAATAGCAAATGATAGACAGTTGGTCTAATATAAACAAACCATATGAAAGTAGAAAGAGAGGAAAAAAGAGTCAAGTAGATCTAGAGAGGGCCCCCAATCCATAGAAAACAGCAAATCAAAAAGGAAAAGAACAGAGAAAAAAAAAAGACAGGCCAGCAAAGAAAATAAATTTGCCTGGGGGGGGGGCTGGGAAACACGATCCCCACATAGGAGGATTGAAGAGGCAAAACCCAATACATCATAGAGTAGTGAGCTTCGTGGTAAAATGAGAAACGGATGGTAATCCACCCACGGTTTCCAAACGGAGAGAAACGTATCATGTTTATCCTCCAACACCGCCGTCAATTTTTCGTTGAGGAAGAAGCCTCGGATTCTGGACCTGACCTCAAATTGTAAGGTAGGGAACTTCCAAGAACAGACAATAGTCTGCTTAGTGTCCATAACAAAAAATTGACCAGTGAGGGGGTCTGCGAGGTAGGCCACGAAGTGGCTTAAAAAGTAAGGCCTCAATAGAATCCTTTTTAAGGTTAATGGATGTAAATGAATAAATAAGATAATAAACCCTAGTCCACAAGTGGCGGGCCACTGGAGAGGTCCACCAAATGTGAAGCATTGCACAGACATAATCTGGTATAAATTTAGCTAATTGAGATGGGGTAAAATTCCAGCCAATATATTTTCTGTGCTGTGAGGTACAGGTTATGATGGCATATACAATTTCCAGGAAAACATCATCTGATACGCTTAAGCGCTGTTGACTATTGTAATGTGGAAATTCGGAGGTATACAAATATACAAAATGTTTTCCAAATTTGGAACAAAACAAACCACACGCCTACTGCTTGTGGATCACCCAAGTCTTTTTGGACGCCATGGACTTTTCTAAGTTTACAGGCAGAAAGAACAGTCAAAATGCAGGCAGGGCACAGGACAAAGCAGTAGGGACAATATGTATGTGAAATGGTTTGAAACAGTAATGTTTTACTATGTAATATTCATTTATTAGAAAATGACAGTTTTTAAAACTTTAAAATTATGCCGCCGGATCCGGCCCCCGTACGTCCCGTCGCTCGCAGGGACCGGAACACAGAAGCCGGATGTCGGCATCGGCCGGAGGAGATGGCCGGGGATGCTGCAGGGGACGCATCACGGGAGCGAAGGACAAGGTAAGCGCTGCAGGGAATCCCTGAGCAATGCCACATGGTAAGCACGGGTTACCGCTTTTGGTACTGAAAGTTTACCCCGTGTTACACTCGGGAATACCGCCAGGGAGGTTAATATTGAAGTTCAGTAAAGAGATGATCCTTCAATTTGCCCAAATGGTATTGTAAGTATGTGGTTTTGGAAGCGTGGAAAGGATAGACATCAGTGTCTCCTGGTGGAATGTCCTGCCCTTCAAAAGGCAATTAAAGACAGTCAGGAAAAGCGGTGCCAAAAGGTCCACACATTTCTTAATTGTTAACAAAACTTCCCCTAGGTTGATGGGTTGATCAAGAAGCTTCTTTTGTGTCAGGGATAAAGTGGGAAGGGAGATTCTCCCAATAGATGGTTGGCCCAGTCAGGAGAGAAAACACCCACTGACATAAGGATTAGAAAGGTGTTAGCAAAATTCCCCCAAAACTTTGATGGGGTTACTTGTAAAGTGGTCTCTAGACCATTTTAGATGGATAGGTTTATGAGCATGATCTAGTTGCAGAGTTGGGATGTTATTAGGGTATCCACTGATGAGCTTTCATGTAACATTTATGAATAGAGCAGCATAAAATCTTCTCTGATGGGTCTTTGTTAAACGTTGCCTGTTGGCCAACATTGGTTGTGTTTTGGTAATCTGTCTCCAGCTGTTTCAACTGTAGGTGTTTAAGACAGATAACCATTTGTATGAATGTACCCTGGATGATGGGTTTTTGTGAGCTTCCCATAAAGAGGTAGTTGAGATGTCAGGGGTTTGGTTCAAGGCGATGCATTCCTTGAGAGCTATTTGTGTGTTTTGATAAAAAGCAGGGTTAGATAAGAGGGACTTGTTCATTGACCATTCAGAGTCAAGTGTTTTTGGTAGTAAGAGGGGGAGAGAGAAATGAGTACTGCACAGTGGTCTGTCCAAGTAATAGGGACAATATTGGAATCCAACAGGAGAGGCAAAGACTCCATTGGAATAAAAATATGATCCATCTGTGAAAAGGCATAATGGGGTGAGAATAAAATGTATGATGATGACGGACTGGATGTTTCTCTCACCACCCATCCACCAGAGAGTGAGTAAAGATCTGAATGATGGAAGATTAGGACGTCAGTTGGTCAAAAGGGAATTTCTCCAAATATGGGTATAATACTAGCCAGGATCAGAGTACCATGTTTTTGAGATTAGATATAGAGATTTTGAGGTAGCTGGAGTAAGTGAGTAAAAAAAGGGACTTGAATTGCTTTTCATTTGATGACTAATTCAAAATCTAATGGAGGTATGGGCCTCCCAAACTTCAGACAGTACTATTATGCTGTTACATGCATTAAATAGTGAAGCGCTCCCACGTTATCTAAAAGAATTCCCTCTGTGTATAACTTAATTCCCTACTGAACTTAAAAATAATCAATATTGTATGGTGATAAAAAACATATGAGCTAAAATACATAAACACCTCTCATATATATCAATTAATCTTGCCTCTTAATAAATCTGTGATGAAAAAAAATGACAATTAAAAAAATTCATGATAAATCCTCAACTATCAGTGATACATCAATAAACATAATAATACTAATAACATAATGAATTGTGACAAATCGTGATGATTGTGATGAACCTATACATCAAAAACCAGTGATTCTGTAACACATAATATAATACATATATCCCGAAAAAATAATAATAGACTGCTACTTAATACTGTGATAAATAAATGAACTCAGTGTCCAAAGTAAACTCGAAAAAGTCCATGCAAAAATTTGTGAAAAACACTCTGTGATCTCCACTTCTAGTGCTCAAAAAGGAATCCTACAAAGGCAGCAATGCCTGCTCACCTCCCCTCCTCGACCCACACAGGGCCACAAGGCAAAAAACTCTCCTCACAGGCAATCTTTTCCTCCAAGCAACTCAGCAAGGGACCTCTGGACTTCCACTCCACCTCCTCTCACCTCGTCATGTAGTCTTTGAATACAGCGCTTTCCACCTCACATCATGGGTGTATTCTCATTCACATACAGGGAGGGAAACAAATATGGCCGCTGCGTCCGGACAAGCGTCCCCACGTGACCGGAAGTGACGTAATCTCGAACTGGGAATGGCGTTCCGACGCGTTGCGTCACGTGCGTCGTGACTTCATCAGGGCCCTGATGAAGTCACGACGCACGTGACGCAACGCGTCGGAACGCCATTCCCAGTTCGAGATTACGTCACTTCCGGTCACGTGGGGACGCTTGTCCGGACGCAGCGGCCATATTTGTTTCCCTCCCTGTATGTGAATGAGAATACACCCATGATGTGAGGTGGAAAGCGCTGTATTCAAAGACTACATGACGAGGTGAGAGGAGGTGGAGTGGAAGTCCAGAGGTCCCTTGCTGAGTTGCTTGGAGGAAAAGATTGCCTGTGAGGAGAGTTTTTTGCCTTGTGGCCCTGTGTGGGTCGAGGAGGGGAGGTGAGCAGGCATTGCTGCCTTTGTAGGATTCCTTTTTGAGCACTAGAAGTGGAGATCACAGAGTGTTTTTCACAAATTTTTGCATGGACTTTTTCGAGTTTACTTTGGACACTGAGTTCATTTATTTATCACAGTATTAAGTAGCAGTCTATTATTATTTTTTCGGGATATATGTATTATATTATGTGTTACAGAATCACTGGTTTTTGATGTATAGGTTCATCACAATCATCACGATTTGTCACAATTCATTATGTTATTAGTATTATTATGTTTATTGATGTATCACTGATAGTTGAGGATTTATCATGAATTTTTTTAATTGTCATTTTTTTCATCACAGATTTATTAAGAGGCAAGATTAATTGATATATATGAGAGGTGTTTATGTATTTTAGCTCATATGTTTTTTATCACCATACAATATTGATTATTTTTAAGTTCAGTAGGGAATTAAGTTATACACAGAGGGAATTCTTTTAGATAACGTGGGAGCGCTTCACTATTTAATGCATGTTATTTATGACTTATTGGTTGAGGTTGAGTGATTGCAGCTAGTAGTTAGGGACCTACCCATACCAAGCGCAGGAGGATACCCCCCTAGACTATTATGCTGTTCATGTTGCTAGAATAATCGATTGGAACTGCCATTCAGACTTGAATGATTGGGTCAATCTAGAGTGCTCTTTTTCACCTATCCCATTAAAATTCACTCCATGGATACTAACAGAAGCTACTTTACAAATCTTTCACTGTGTTATTTCAAAAGATGACCTTTCATCTTCACCCAGTCCACTCATCCCCTTAATCAATGATCCAGATTTCTCCCCATGAATGGGCTATAAATTTTTCCCAACCACAACACCTGATAAATTTCACCCAGTGCTTCCGAAAAGGAACACTTAAAACTAGGGCCACAATGATGGAGGACCTACAGCTGGAAGTGTTCACATTTTGGACTTCTACAGTAGTTACTTAACATCACATCAATACAAACAAATATTTAATAGACACCTAACGACATTTGAATCTCTGTGTTTGAAAGGCAACAGAGTTGACAAAACTTTCTTTCTCTTACTCGTGGTTACAACAGGGACATGATCTGATCTCAGATTTAAAGAACAATGGACATCGGCACTACACATTGATATCTCAGATCAACAATGGCTTAGGCCCTGTACAGTATATTAACACATAAATGCTTTTTGAGCACCAAGATCCAAGAAACTTCCTACAAGATTTTGACCCAATGGTACATGACCCCTGATAAATTGAGATGCTTATTCCCCCTGACATATGCTGGAGATGTGGACAAACACGTGGTACAATGATCCACATATGTTGGAACTGTCCAACTATTGCACAGTGTTGGACACAAGTTAAAAATGTAATTGTCCGCAGCACTGAAACACAAATCAATCTTACCCCTGAATGCTGCCTTCTACATATTAATCATCGTCTGTTGAAAAATATAAACACTCCCTTACTAAACACATGCTAAATGCAGCAAAAACACTCATCCCCTTACACTGGAAACCCAACTCTATACCTACAGTTGGGAACTGGATTTTAAAAATAGATGAGATATATGAAATGGAGAGGTCACTCGCCATGGTACAGGATTCTACACCCAGATTTCACAAAACATGGATGCCATGGTCCCTGTTTCAACTATCTGTAGAATATTTTGCCATTCTGAAGGGCTGAATATATGAATATAGCTGATTGTATCTATATTAGTATACTTCTTCCTTTTGTTTTTCAGCCTTAACGTGTAATTATAGCTAACTATTTCTATGTTACTACACCCTTTTTATTTTCTAAAAATAAGAATATGGCTCCCCAATGTATGACCAACCACCTCCTATTGTTTCCCCTCCTCGTATCCTTTTTTTTCCCACTTCCTCCTATTCCTATGGAGAATCTATATATTATTTTTTAATTTCTCTTTATCTTACATTTCTTACAAACTCATTATTATTCTTTTAGTTTTGTCTGTATACTCAAGATACCACACCGAGAAACTTACTTTACTGTGTTCTAAAGTCAATAAAAACTTTAGGAAGTTCTATTGTGATTTAAAGATTTTGGTACCAACTTCAACAATTTATTGTATCCTTATATTCGCATCATTATCTAACTAACTGGTGTATAATAATCTTAAATATGGTAATATAAACCGATATTACAATTATAGGTTGTTTTTAGCACCTGCTTTATTTGACCTGACTGATATCTCATACCAAATGTTATGTATTATGTTAATATACCTGTTGCAAGTTACATACAGCCTACTGGTTTACTTGCTGATATATTGTACCATGTTTGTATTTTCAATAAACCTTTAAAAAAAAAAAGGGACTTGAGTGATATTAGGAGCATAATAAGACTATTTTGACCTTGGTGTCTTGCCAGTAAGAAGAAAGTAGTGGCCTTTGGGATCCTGGAATTTGGAGTGCAAAGTATATGGCTATATGCGATGAAAGGCATTAATGTTCCCTCTGTTTTTGGTATGAGCATCAATACATTGTACCTGAGTATAGAGAGGACTAAAATATTTTTGAGGACGAGTAAGGGGTCTCCTGA